TCTCCAGTTTCTTCTTATATTTCTCAGCTGAAGTCGGCATATGAATTGGACAAGATGAATGGCCTGAAACTCGAAGAGCTGTGGCTGGAAGGGAACCCCTTATGCGGCACCTTCCCAGACCAGTCCACCTACATAAGGTTGGTGATAACCACTGTCACCCTTGCTAGGGATCCTTGCCTCTTGGGAGACTGAACTATCCCCTGACAGTGCCCATCTGTAGAAGGTGGCAGCTTTGGTTCTCTGGGAGGAGGAATAGTCCTTGCCTTTTATTTTCTGTGTTCCTCACCTGTGCCTACAGGTCTCCTCTCCTTCCTTTGACCTGCCTACCTTTTCTGGAGCTCTGGGGGCTACTGTCTTTGTCTGCACCTAGTTTTTCCTAGCATGCTCTCACAAGAGTGTGCTCCAAGAAGCAAAACATCCCTTCCTCACCAGGACCAGAATGGTCCAGCCTTGAGCCAGATGGTGGTGCCCTGCACTGGAAAGGGTCCTCCAGCCCAGGGTCTCGTGCTGAGGCTGGCTGTCCTACTCCAAGCCGAGATGGGGCTTCCCCCCAATTTCCCTGAGAGGAGTCCTGTTTCCACTGCTCCAGAAAGGTCTTCCTTTGAATCCCAGGCTGACATAGGGACTTTCTTGCCCCATGCTGAGGCCCGAGGTCCTGGAGGCTGCCATCATGACATGCATTCTTCTGGTCCAGTGCCAGGAGCTGGGACATCCTTGGGAGAATCCAGAGTTCCCTGAGTCAAGGGGCTAGAAGTGGGCCATGCACAGTGAACAGAGGGTCTCCCGAGGTAGCAGTGGAAGGCAGAGGGCAGAGGGGGTTGAGGAGACAGAAGGACAGGCCTTTCAGAGCACTGCCTCTCCCTCCCTCCACACATTATATCTTCATGCCTGGTCTTTCAGAGGGTCCCTGGGTAGCCCAACATGGGTATGATTCCTCAGGCAGAGAACCAACTAAGACAGGCACAGGTGCACAGGAGCCATGAGGGGAGAAGGCGGTGATCATAGGAGGGGGCCACAGACCCTCTACCCTCCATGCTGAGCTGGGGCCTGATCCTTTACTCCTTCTGGGGAAGGTCTTCTGCCCCCGTGGCTGCTGGGTTTCCCATGCCCAGTTCAGATTGAGCTCCCATAAGTGACAAAGGCTCAACCAGCATTCAGTGGGACCCCAGCCCAACACATGCATGTTTTCCTTTCCCACCTGAGATCTCAGGGAAAGATGAAGGAAAGGGCTTCAACAGGGGAACCATGTCCTCTTTCTTCTCTCCTCTTCACCGCCCCTCAACCCATAGCAGATCTTCTTTCCCTTCCCTTTGCTTTGCTTTCTCTTTCTCCCTTGTCTCTAATCCCCTCGTCTCCCTCATAGATTTCCTCCTATCTTCACTCCATTTCTCTCTTCATCCCCTTCCCTTCCCCTCTCTGTCTCCTGCCCCGGCATCCCTGGCTATCTCTGGGACATGTCCTGGTCCTGGCAGAGTGCTGGACCCCCAATGAGGTATCACAGCTCTGGGCTCCCACCTCATTCCCTTTTTTCTCTGTGGAGCCTTCAGTGTGGACTTGGAGAAAGAAGGGGAGGCAGGATGGGGGAAGAAGCCCTGGAGCCTGGGCAGCAAATGCTGTTTCTTATGGCACAGGAGAAGGGAGACGGGGCAGTTTAGGTGAGAGCTACCCGGGAGCATGGAGAGAAGGAGAGAGAGGAGAGAGGGAGAGAGGCTTCAAAACTCTGAACTGTCAATCACTTATATTTTTGGTTTTGGACAGTGCCATCAGGAAATGTTTCCCCATGTTGTCACGCCTGGTAAGTGCCTACATTCATTATTCTCTCTTACTGATTTTGATGGCCTCCACACTTACCCTCAAGCCCTTTGTGTCTTGCATAGATTATGTGTTTGTATCAGAAACTCATCCAGTTTAGGGGACATAGACTCCTCAAAAAGACATGAATATGTTCTTTGCAAAAATATCTATGAACCTATGCGTATGTGCATACATGCACATAAAGAGGGTGAGAAAGAGAGAGAGGGAGGAAGGGAGGAAGGGAGGGAGATAGAGAGATAAGGAAAGAGAGGGAGGGAAAGA